GAATACACTGTTAAAATAAAATGGCTGTTGCATCTAATAAGGAAATAAAAATTATACAGTTGCAATTTTATTATTTTTTCTATATCTTTTTTATCTGGTAGAAAATGATTGAGCTCTAGCCAAAAAATTTATACTGACTTGATCTGAAAAAAAAAATACAAAGTTGAAATAAATAGCCAATGAATATGAAGAAAAAATAAAAAGAAATATACTGTTGGTGTTCTATTATTTTGGTTAGAACTTTTTAATTTGGTAAAATGATTGTGTTCCAGCCAAATTTGGCCCACAAAAAAAAGGAGAAATACACAGTTCCAACAAATAGACATTGTATCTATAGAAGAAATCAAAAGAAAATAAATAATTAGAGTAAAGTATGCATTGTAACATAAAACAAGAAGAAATATACAATTGTAACAAATAAATCATTGTGTATGATTATGTGATAATTTTACGGTTAAAAAGTAGTCCATTTGAAAGCTGATTTTTCAATATGTTTTCACTTCCACGCGCCTAAAAGAGAATGTATCTATGTTCTTTGCTACACCAGTGTTTATGGGGTAACAATTATCAAATAATTTGTGTCTAGTTTAACGGGGTATTAGGCATTCTGCCTATTTTAAAGGTGAAATTAAAACGTTCCCTTTTCTGTTCGAGGCCAAACAACTTTAGTTTCTGCCCTCAGCATCGCATCTCATCTCTGCTTGCCTACTTAAGGTGAACACGTAATTGTTGGTGGGAACAAAATTACGAGTGTATTCAAATCCTAAATCAATAAACTCGATAAAGTACTGACAATGTCTCCAAACGATGGGGAGTAATCTTTAACAACTCAGTTGGTGGACTACCTAAACATTTATCTTTGGTGAGGGTTTAATTCCCCGCCTTATAATCCCCTCGCTTCCCCTTCCCCCACCCCTAAATTAAAAAAAAAAAAAAAAAATTTGTCTCAAAGAAAACGGTCATACTGGAAAATGAAGTATAAGTCATTAAAAATATCATTTCAGGAAAAGAGGTCTATATGGTCAGTAGCCAACTTTGCAGTTCATCTCTTTCCTCTTTTTATTCCTTTCGATTTTCTTAAATCTTCAGTTCATCCGTCGCATTTATTCCAATGTAGTACTTGCCATTCGCATATATATATATAAATAAATAATGTATAAACAAGAAATAGACGATATGAAAGGGCAGCCCGGTGCACTAAGCTTCAGGGGCGGATTTAGGGGGTGGAAGGGTGTTCACCCGAACCCCCTTCCCCGAAAAGTTAAATTGTATATATAAGACAAAATCTATTTTTTACCTCTATATATTATGTTTTGAATCCCTTTGACATAGCCCAAAAGCATGGCTTAGTGGACAAGCAGCTTCAAAATTTTTGTAAGGTCATTGGTTCTATTCCCACTTGCTATAACTTCTTAACTTTTTTTTTAAACCCCCTTCAGAGTAATCCTGCCTCGCATACTGCTAAGCTCCCGCTATGCGCAGAGTCCGGGGAAGGGCCGATACACGAGGGTCTATCGTATGCAGCCTTACCCTATATTTTTGTAAGAGATGATTTTCACGGCTCAAACCCGTAACCTCCTGGTCACATGGCAACAACTTTACCAGTTGCGCCAAGGCTCCCTTCAGATAGACGATATGAAAAAGAGGTTGAAAGTTGAAAGGGATGGAAGATGAAGTAGTTCCTCACATTTTCTACTGCCGTATGTCCCTTAGAACATGGAGGAAATTATGGCTCCCTTTCATTAATATATTGTATTTCCATTTACTTAACTAGAGATAGACGCAGTGAAGTCAATTGGCGAAAGGGAAATGTGGAGATTAGGTTCTGTATTTCCTTCCTATATATATATGTACTTTCACGTTGAATTTCAAAAAAGATAAGAGAAAGATTTTGTCTAACTCCGCCATATTAGGGTGGTCTTTTACTAAAAAGAGAAGTACATGCCTCTAATTACAAAATAAGTAGTATAATTTGGACATAGATTTCAATAAAAGAGTTTTTGAAGTTGTGTTAACAATAATTTTTGGAAATTGAAGTTGTATTTGCACATATATTTTACTTGATAAAAAGTTGAAGTTTTGTGAGTGGAAGAAAAAAATTCACCCAAACTAGATTTTGGAACTTGAAATTTTTTCTTCAATTTTTTTTTTTAAAATACTGATCAAATTTCATGAACAAACAATATTTTTATTTTTATTTTTAAAAAGAAAAAACAATCTATATTCAAACGGGAGCTAAATTCGAATCTAATTGGGTAACTTATAAGGGACAATATTCTTCTGCGAATTTAATTTCTATACATGACCGGCAGTGTAAAAGGTTTAAGATTAATTTGAATTAAAAAATATGATGAGCGAGGATTCAAAAAGCGGACTCTAACTAGTACTGGGACTGAAGTATATTTCTTATGTTGTTATTATTGGTGTTGCTATTGGCAGTGTAAGAATTTTATTAGTACATAATTAGGATATCTAAAAAATTAAAGTTACTACATCTAATCATCATAATAAGTGAATTGTTTACACTGTTAATGTATATACAAATTGAGTTAATTTCCTGCTATTACAAACGTTTGCCCTAAAGCCTTTACTAACCCTTCTCTCAAAGACGAGAGAGAGAGATGTAGGTGCTGTACGTAGAAAAAGCGAAAGCTGGACGAAGGAAACAGAGAGAAGCCGAAAGATAAAACAGTATCACTCTTATCCATGCCCAGTGGTGTGGTGGGGCGTCATAAAAATCTCTCTCTCATATTCATGCCTACATACATACACATATATGGAGTATATAAATCACCACATTTAGATCCAATGCTTTACTAAAATAAACAGACAAGAGAAAGGTTTGAAGTTTTCTATTTTTCCTTTTTCTTATCTGGGATTGGAAATAGGGAATGGGGGATGAGAGAAATAGGGTTAACGAGAGCCTACTTTATTATGATAATATTTGTAGTAGGATTTTTAAGTATATAGCCTGACAATATATATTTTTTTAGCACTATTAATGTAATTTAATAGTGGAGAGGTAGAGGCAGGCCGAAAAAGTATCAGGAAGAGGTGATTATGCAAGATATGACATTGCTCCAGCTCACTGAGGATATGATCATGGATAGAAAAGGGTGGAAGTTGAGAATAAAGGTAAATGGTTAGGAATTAGGATAGGTAGCTGAAGGTTGTCCTTGTATGTAATAGTAGCTTTAGTACATGAGTTAGTGTTATTTGTGTATTTTTGTATTCCTTGACTTTTGTGATTACTTGTTGTCGGTTTTGTTTTGCTTTCTGATTGCAGTACTTAGTTTTAGTTTTGTATTTTTGCTTCAGTTTTCTAAATGGTGTGCTTGTTGCTACCCTTCCTTTTACCTTTCATAAGCCAATGGTCTTCTGAAGACATGCTCTTTGGCTTCTTGAAGGTAGGGTAAGCATGGGCGAAGCTACACTATGGCAAGGGTGGTTGACCACCCTTTGTCAGAAATTACACTGCGTATATAGGTAAAATATTAGGTTTTTGAGGCATATAATATATATTGAATACCATTTGTCAGAGATTTTTTTTTTTTACTTCTTTCAAGTTTGAACACCCTGAGTAAAATTCCTGGCTTCGCCAATGGGGGTACAGTCTGCATACACATTACCATCTCCAGACCTCACTTGTGGAATTGCACTGGCCTATTATTATTGTTGTATTAATGAAATTTAACTTACGATAGTAGAATAGTTATCATTTATTTGTTACACATATTTACCTAGTTTAATAGTTCAGCAGAATCTTATCGCTTTATTCAAACCCTCGTTGCTCGAGATGTAGTATCGGTCCTTGCAAAAGTTAAAAATTCCTCCCTCTGGGCTGCCTTTATCTTTTTAGACCACCACCTCTCCAGTTGTATACTTTACTAGTACTATGCTTTTTCTGTTCATGTAATTATGAATCTTGAAGATTTGCCTCCAACAAACTATCCCTTTATAATTAACAAACATAATTGATTTGACCTAGCTATAGACTAGTTTGCTGCTGTGAACGTGGGGGATGATATCATGTCAATGATAGTATTCTCTCTTCTCTCTTTAACGGAATATGATGACTCTGAGATGAGAGAATCCTTCTTTAATTTGTTTCTTCAATTTTGAGTTTCTCTGTGATTGGATTTTCTTGTGTTTTGAGTACATGTGGTATAGAACAGTTGCATGGTTTTTAGTGGAACTTTGGCGTTTTCTTTCTTTGACTAATACTTTATCTCTTTGTGTTCTTTCTAAATCTTTTCAAGCATCTCACTTATCCCACTCACAACCGACAAGATAATGCTCACTAATAATCTTGTCATAGATTAAGAATCATTCGCAAAAATTCAATCATAGGAAAATACTACGCAAAACTTTTAGAATTTAAGCCACATACATATAGAAGAAGTACACCAAGAGAATATATATTACTGTGCACCCATAACTAGGCTCCTGAGGTTTGAAGATAAAATCGTAAAAGCTTAGTTCCATTGCTTTCTCCTTTTTTGACCGGCAACATCTCTGTCTGAAAAAATTTCAACCGAAATTTACCAGTTTTATTCTATCAGCTTATTTAAAAGGCAATTATTAAATGGAATTAATAAGGCAAATAACCTTTTGCATCAGGTAATTAAATTGCATCGATAGTATAAAAATTCAAGAAATTTTCCGTGGATATAAGTTAATCCGAATATAGAATTTCAAGTGGCGAGCTGAAATACAGAAGTAGTTCAAACATGATCACAAGAATGCTGGAACAATTCGTGTATGAAAGACTTCAGCATATACTGATCAATATATAGTAATATAAGTTAAAATTTATCCTCTTAGATTTCAGATAATGAACGTTGAAATATATGAGATTATATAACTCCATTAAATAAGAAAATCTAATGTAAGTATTTTTACTCAAGAGATACAACTTCATATAGATAAAATTGAGAATATCTGAACTTAACAAAGAGACACAAAGGCAGATGTGGCTAGGTAGTGTTGGGATCACGATATCAAATGAGTTACTAAATATTATCACAATACTACTTGATGGAAACAGATTATAATGTCAGAATCCGAACTTACAAACGACTTCACAAACCTTGTTAAAGAATCTCCAAAAAATTACAAGTGTCCACTGAAACAAACAGACAAAAAAAAGATTCAAATATGCAATATATATATGTTTAATTTAGACCAATCCACACAACCTAGCTACCCATGCATCTCTTCTTTTTAATGAAGTAGACATTGACTTAAGATTGAAAAGAAGGGTAGAAGCTTCAAGTTTCAAGCTTACATGAAATCAAAGGAGATGGCCAGCTGAAGAGGAGTTGAGACCAGAAAACCCTGTCCATGCATTTCCACCCCAATATTGATTATTCTCCATAGTTCCCAAAAACTGTTTTGTGGAATTTAACCCTTGATTATTTTCTTCCATTCTCACTACTGAATCTTGATGAGAAATCCCAGATGGTGTTGCTTCAATTCCTTCACCTTGAAAAGGGTATAAATTTGTGGCTGCCAAAGATGGCAATCTCCACTGATGATGATCAGATCCTCCAGTGGCTGCTTGTAAATTGTTAGTACTATTCCCTATTTGGAATCCCATTTCATGACCAAGTCCCCCATTGTTTTGTGTAGAAACCAAAGGAGGAGGCTGAAATCCTCCGTATTGATGATTTAGGTTTTGGAAGGCAGCCATGAGAGGAGTTAAATGTGTGGATGACTGTGAAAAGTGTTGGCCAGTAATTTCTTTGCTGCAGCTTGAAGGACTTGCACTAGTTGAAGTGGAAGTAGTACCTATTTGTCTCTCCGCAGTGTTGTTACCGCCAGCGGTCTTTGAGCTGTTGTTAGTGCTTTTGCTTCTCTTGTTTCTTCGGCATCCTCCTCCCACCGGGACGCTCCTCAGAGCACCCCCTCTAGTCCAGTAACGACGACAACTCTTACAGAAGTGTCTGGGCTGTGCAAGGTTATAATTATTGAAGTAGCAGAGCTTAGTGTTCGAGGAATCACACCTCGGGCACTTTAGTCCAGCTTCCGGCAGTGGAATCTTTGCTAATCGGGCTCGATCAACCATGGAACCAGGCCTGATCGAGCCTGGACTCCCACCCACATGAGCAGGCGGGACTGCTGTTGGAAGCTGGGAATTTTCGAGCCCAGGGTTTCCTTGTTGATTGTGATCTAGCTGCTGTAACTGAAGAACATCAAGAGGATGAAAAAGAAGAAAGTTAGAATTTCACAACTCTTAAGTACTCATCTATATTTGGTATATTCAACAAAAAGACTAGTAGAGAATATGAATATCTGCTTCTTTTTTTTTTTTTTGTTAGTTGAAGAAGTGATTAAGATTAAAGCCATACCTGTTGCAAATTGGGATGATCTAGATAGACTGGAAAAGATGAGAAACTCATGGTTTCTTTCTTTGATCTCTTTGATCTTTATCTCTTTTGTAAAAGGTTGATGAATTTTTTTGGAAATATGTGGTGGAGGAATCACAGTAAAGAGAGGAGGGGAATAGAATACCAGAGCCCCAATAAAAAGAAAGGAAATGAAAGGAAAAGAGAGAAGGAAGATGAAGGCAGGAAAGGGGGAAATAGAGAGTTTTAGTTTTATTTTCTTCTCTCGTTCGTTCTTTTTGTTTTTACTACTACTACTACTATATTTTTAGGGTTTTGTAATTTGAGTGGGGGAAGTTCCTTCGCATCTAAGCTTTCTTTGTTGATGCCCTTGGACTACATATTGTTATTATTATTAGTGCTCGATAAAAAGGAGAATTGTGAGTCCTCTCTCTCTTGCCTTGTGTAATATTATCTCAGCTATAGCTTTTTATGGTGGGATCCTCTTACGTATTTGAAATTCTAAATAGGGTCATAGTAGCTCCATAATAATCAGGAGTGATATTCTTTGGACCCCTTTTTTGCTTTAATTTGCTTAGCCTTGTTTGGGATAGAGATAATATTTTTAGCTAACTACTGTTGCTAGTACTTTTTATGGTACCCTTGTGTAAGCCCTAGAGTTAGGTTTCTTCTCCTCCTCTTCTTCTGCTTTTTCCCCTTGTCTGTTTATATCTTCTAAAGTTTATGGGTAGCTTTCTTTAATTGACCCACATGCAATTTGATGACACTTAAGTAATTAAACAAGGAGAGACGTTCCAAACTTAAATATCTCAACAGAAAATCTTAATTCTAGTATTGGTGCCAATTGAGTATTCATGGAGTTTTTTTAATGGAGTTCAAACCTAGAGAGAAAGAAAAATCAGCGGTCTAGTTCCTACAGTAGGTTATATTGAAGTGAAATATATCACTTCAAATGAATGAGTTTAAGTTATATACACCGTCAGTGCATGTTATTAATTTTTATACTATCACGTATGTGTGTGTATCATGCATTTCATGTCAGTCGCCCTCAGAGGCACTCAGATGTTACAGGTTGTATCTTCTCTATCTCTTTAAATTAGTATTTTTATTTATGCTTTCCTGCCTTACATACTCGGTACTGTATTCGTATTGACGTCCCTTTTGCATGGGGACGTTGTGTTTCATACCCACAAATCCCAATAGATAGGCTGACGGTCCTCCTTGTAGGTTGCCAACTCAACGGAAGGTGTTGTTGCACTCCATTTACTCAGGAGTTGCCTTTTGGAGTCAGTATGCTTATGTACATATGATGGGTATGACGGGGCTTGTCCCGACCTTATGATGTTTATTTATTCCTTGACAAATATCATGTATATAGATGTTTTGTTTGGCCTAGTAGGCCCGAATATCTTTTGTATATCATTTTGGGGTTGTCCTTTATCGAGCATTCTTTATGTTATGTTCAGGTTATCTCATGACGGACTTTCTCACCCATTTACGCATGATAGTATGGTTAAGGATACGTTACATTGGTACTCGACAAATAAGGCCCGGATGCCCATCGCGGCTCTACGGTTTGTGTCGTGACAGTTTATATGTATTTTGCATTTTCAGCACATTAATAGTTATTGTTTCAGCAGATTGTATGTTTTATGTTTTCTTTTGTATTTAGTTGTTTGGCTTCTTTTTTTAAAATAAAGAAGTATGACATATTATGCAAATTTATGCTACGATAATGTGATGACACGATAGGTCATTTTGAGTTCAGGCATTTATTTTTGTATTCTAAGACCCCGATTAGCTCCGTTTAGTGTTTTTCGATTTACGTGCACACTCCATGTCTTATTCCAAAAATTTTATGTGAAAAACTAAAGAAAATATGAATTAAAGCCTTAAAAATAATTTGAGTTGATTACGGTCAATATTTTGTGTAAACGGACCCAAATCGATATTTTGATGGTCCTGGTAGATCCGTATCGTGATTTTGGACTTGAGCGTATGTCCGGAATTGAATTTGGTAGTCCCTAACATGTTTTGGCATGATTTGTTAAAAATTAGTAATTTGAAGGTTTAAGGAATTCCGAAGTTTGACCGTAGGTTGACTTTATAGTTACCAAGTTCAGATTTTGGTTCCGCGACTTGGTATAGGTTTATTTTACTATTTAAGATTTGTCTGTAAAATTTGGTATAAAACAGAGTTGATTTGATATGATTCGGACGCTCGGTTGTGAATTTGAAAATTCTTGAGTTTATTTGAAAATTTCATGCATTTTGATGTCCGATCGTAGAAATATGTGTTATTTTGGTATTTCGATAGCGCGAGCAAGTTTGTATGATGTTATTACACTTGTGTGCATGTTTGTTGGAGCCCGAGGGGCTCGGGTGAGTTTCGAATAGGTTAAGGATCGATTTTGGACTTAGAGGATCCGTTGGTTCAGCTGTTGCTGATGTCTGGTGTTTTATTCTTCGTGATCGTGAAGCTACTCTTGTGATCGCAAAGGGTAACTTGGGGATGGGGTGGTTTTCTTCTACGCGAACGTGGAGAAGTGGCCGCGAATGCAAAGCATCAGAGGGATTACCCTTCGCGAATGCGATTGTTTAGGTGAGGATCTGGGGGAGGTAGGGGTTACTCTATGCGAATGCGAGCCCAGCTCGCGAATGCGAAGGACATGGGGGACAGGCCATCGCGAACGCGTAGGCCATTAGGGCCGCTGTTCTTCGTGAATGCATCGGGCCCTTCGAAAATGCGAAGAAGACCTGACGCCCAGTGCTTAAAAGGTCCCAAAATCGGGAATTAAGTCATTTTTCACCATTTTCAAGTTTGAGCTTGGCCTAGAGGCGATTGTAAGAGGGTTTTCATCCCAACTTCATAGGTTAGTAGATTTTAACTTGTTTCCTTATAATTTCATAATCACCCATTGATATTAACCTTTAATCTATTCTTTTCTATGGTAGAAATTAGGGATTTAGGTAGAAATTGAGAATTTTGAGAAATTGATATTTAGACCTCAAATTGAGGTCGGATTTTGAACTAATCTCATAACCGGGCTCTAGTGTGAATGGGTAATCGGGGTTTAGTCTGAATCTCAGGTTTTGACCAAGCGAGCTCGGGGTTGACTTTTGTTGACTTTTTCCAAAAAATTAAAGGTTGAATCTTCTTCACTTGTGGGTAGTTTCTAAAGCATATTTTGAATTATTTGAACTATATTTGGTTGGATTTGATTGGTTTGGAGGCTAATTCTAGAGGAAAAGCCGCGGTCGAGCATTGATTTGGTTGCGGAGTGAGGTAAATGTCGTGGTTAACCTTGACTTGAGGGACTATGACTTGTTTGTCTATTTTCTACATGTTTTATATATGGTAACAATGTATATGTGAGGTGACGAGTACTTATGCATTGTTGTTGTGTAACAGCATGCAGGTGGAACTTGTTTCTTTGTATTTTATTGTTTTGTTAATTATGATATCCATACTTAGGTTAGATTATTACTTCTTTGATTATTCGTTTCATATTTATTGATTATTTCAAAGTTGTTAAATATTTTCGGAAGTTGAAGTTTGATATCATGGCACCATATTTGAATTTAATCATTCTCCACGTTGTTTATTTTTCAAATTCATAGTATTATTATTATTACACGGTGAGGATGCAGGGAAATAATTTAACTTCAAATATGGTGCCATGATATCAAACTTCAACTTTCCAAAACATTCAACATCTTTAAAATAAGAAATAAATACGAGACGAATAATTAAAGAAGTAATAATCTAACATAAGCATGAATAACATAATTAACAAAATAATATAATACAAAGAAATAATTTTCACCCGCATGCTTTAACTCAATGATAATACATAGATACTCGTCACCTCACATATACGTTGTCCCCACACATAAAACACATAGTAAATAGACCAACAAGTCTTAATCCCTCAAGTTAAGGTTAATCACGAAACTTACCTCACTTCCACAATCAAATCAATGCTCTACTGCTATTTTCCCTCTAGAATTAGCCTCCAAAACAATCAAATCTAACCAAATATAGTTCAAATAATTCAAAATAAGCTTCAGAAACTACCCACGAATGAAAAGATTCAATCTTTAATGATTTTGAAAAAAGTCAACAAAAGTCAACCTCGGGCCCGCTTGGTCAAAACGTGAGATTCGGACCAAAACCCAATTACCCATTCATCCCCAAGCCCGATTATGTTATTAGTTTCAAAATCCAACCTTAATTTGAGATGTAAATCTCAATTTCTCAAATTTTTTAATTTCTACCTGAATCCCTTATTTCTACCATGGAAAAAACATAGATTAAAGGTTAAAATCAATGGATTTTTATGAAGATGTAAGAAAACAAGTTGAAATCTAGTAACCTATGAAGTTGGGATGAAAAACCTTTTCAAAATCGCCTCTAGGCCGAGCTCAAACTTGAAAATGGTGAGAAACGGGATAAAACCTTACTTTTGAAACTTTAAATCACTAGGCATCAGGTCTTCTTCATGTTCGCGAAGGACCTGACGCGATCCCGAAGAACAACAGCCTGAGTGGCCTTTGCGTTTATGAGAAACGCTCCGCATTCGCGATGGCTTGTCCCCCTAGCCTTCGCATTCGCAAGCCTAGGCTCGCGTTCGCGTAGAGTAACTGACCAGCTCCCCCAGGTCCCTCCTTAATACTACGCGTTCGCAAGAGGAGAGTCACATTCATGAAGGGTAAATCCCCCACTACTTTGCATTTGCGAGCAGCATCTCGCGTTCACGATGAATGAAGTCCTCCCCAAACCTTATTCCCCTTCGTTATTGCGAGAGGCTTCGCGATCGAGAAGCATGTTGCACCAGACACCAGAAAACTAGCTGAAGCTGCAATCTCTAAGTCCAAAAATGATCCGTAGCCTATATGAAACTCAACCGAGCCCCTCGGTATCTAAACCAAACATGCACATAAGTGTAATAACTTCATACAAACTCGCTTGCGCGATCGAAATACCAAAATATCACTTAAACTATAAACCAGACATCAAAATGCATGAAATTTTCAAAGAAACTCAAGAACTTTCAAATTCACAACCGAGCGTCTGAATTCTATCAAATCTACTTCGTTTTGCACTAAATTTTATAGACAATAAAGTCAACTTATGGTCAAACTTCACAAATCCTTAAACCTTCAAATTACTAGTTTTCAACAAATCATGTCAAATCAAGTTAGGACTTCCGAATTCAATTTCGAACATGCGTCCAAGTCCAAAATCGCAATACGGACCACACTAGGATCGTCAAAATACCTATCCGGGTCCGCTTACACAAAAATATTGACTGTAGTCAACTCGATTTATTTTTAAAGATAAAATTCATGTTTTTTTTATTAATTTTTCACATAAAAACTTTCC